CTGTTTCACCTCTTCACTCAGTGATCGAGAGTAGTCGGAGGCTTCGCATGCCTCGGGCCAACTCATGGGGCAAACCTGCCATCCTTCTTAGTTGTTCTTTTTTCTATTCTTGCTTTGAGCCAGCCCTTAGTTAAACAAACAAGTAAGCTACTATCTACTGGACACAGGATAGCTCACGCACTATTCATGTGGTTCCTAGATTGCACGTGTCCAACTTTTGTTGGTCCTCCATTCTCTGCAAATACATGTAAATACCAATCAAAGGAGGTGCCTTTTCAAACACATTTTATTATTGATTTCCCCAAATCATGACAAATCCATTTTTGAGCGAACATGGTTTGGACATCCGACAAAAACAATCCAAAGCCAGTTCATTCATGCTGGGCAACTTTCTTTTCCACAGGATGGACGGAACCAATTGTCCTTCTTGCTGAAGTGGTGAAGAATCCATTCAGGCAGCTTTCCTTGACAGCCTGCCTGTATAGTATAATCAACCTTTCATGATTGGCAAGAGGTCAAGAAGCGGCCAAACATCAATCTACTAACCAACCACTATATATATATATAAACACTCTTTGAATGAATCAACAGCTTTGGAGCCTGCACAAATATATGGCAAAGAAAGACTGTCCAATGATTGTATAATTCGGAGTTTGCACCTTTGTCCAGGGACCCTCTTGTTGGTTTCCGCTATATATGTAAGGAACAGCAGCTTTGACCCTCAAGGACAGAGTTGGATTCATGTCCAGCCCCTGCAGGTCAAATTAACCAAATCGACTGGCGGCAACGGAGTTCATTCTGACTGATAAACTTCTGCCTTACACTATGCCGCAATGCCTGTCAAAAAACAATAATTACATGCTCCGGTTCTGAAAGGTCCGAACATGTCATGTGGCAATTCCAGGCCTCTTCTGGAAACCATGATGCTTCTGGACCTCTGTTTCTGAGGAGTCTCTCCGGAGTACTGACTGGCCTCTTCACAAGGGACATAGCACACCTCTCCAACTTCAACTTGTCCAACTAGACTTTGACAACTTGACCATCAAAGAAGAGTGCCATAGTGCTGGCCCTAATATACTCTCAAAAATGTTGCAAGTGGAGATTCCAAACATGTTGACCATGAGCCACACACGTGCCACAGTGGATCATTCACACTCTCAGGCACAAGCACTGCATCAACCGCTGGCCAAGCTTGATGGACTCACGCTCATAGACCAGCAAAAAGTCCTTTTCATGGAAGAATCTACAAGCTGGAAGCTTTTCAAGAAGAGAAATCTGTTCTAAGAAGAAGAAGAAGAAGAAGAAGAAGAGGAAGAGGAAGAAGAAAAAGAAGAAGAAGAAGAGGAGGAAGAGGAAGAGGAAGAGGAAAAGGAAGAAGAAGAGGAAGAAGAGGAAGCAAAAGAAGAAGAACTATGAAAAAGAAGGATCAGTCAATAAGGCCTTTTAAATATGTGTCCCTTCCTTTGTCCTTCTGCATCTACAAGCTGGACCAAGGCGTGTCCATGATTGCTCGTATTCCCAGTGCGCTTTGGAAGTTTCAGGAAGCCCATATGTTGGAAAAGAATAGAAAATTAATTTCAATTTAAAAAAGTCTTCTGTTGCAAAATTGAAGTTCTTGAATGTCTATCAAGTGCTGCACTTCATTCGATGATTCAATCTTCGTGCTGATTCACTTGTCCAACAAACTGTGTGGAGGCTCCCCTCACTTCCTAGCCAAAAAAGAACTGCTCTTAAGACTCAGACGTGCATTAAAATCCATGCTGCCCAGCATGGATGTTCATCAACCACAAGTCAAATTGGATTTATGAGGGTATAGTATAGCTGGACACTCAAAACATTTGCAGCCTGGGCTGTCTAGTAAACAATCGAAATATCAACAATTATTAATGACATCGTGAGCAACGGACCTACCTACTTCAGATTAAGGATGGTTATTAAAGAAGCACGGTTTCATCCTATTCCAGGCATGCGCTGACGTGCAGTCACAGGCGTCGGAGGTGCCGCAATTTGTCAACCACACAAAGAAAACATCTGAATCCAATTGCGAAGCCAATGCAGTGTCGCATCCGTTGTCCAACTGCTCTAAATCGCGACATCTGCAAAAACATGGCTTCATCTCCAAATCAATCTACAAAGCGTGAGTGGACCCAAGCAAACCACAAGCTTGAAGAACAAAGGGCACTGCTGGACACCAAAGCTTCTCTACACCACCAGCAACATTCTAGGCTCTTGGGCATAACTGTGCATGGGGATTGCTCCAGCACCCTTGCGAAAGAGTTTGCATGACTCAGGACCCTCGCCTCCTTTCCACACACGGCCCAGCCACCCCAGCAGCTCTAAAGTCACTCTCCTCAACTGTACTACAGGACTTCATCATGTTGGTGCTGAGCATTACCTCAGCAGCGTGCCCAGATCAAGCATGTTCAAACCAAGGAACCAAATTAGGCCTGAAATCAGGCCACAGCAGGCTTTATCGCCATGCTGGGGTGGTTGGAAGAAGAAATAAGTGTGGTACAAGCGCGACAATGACGACATAAACCAGAACCCGCGGCCAACACCTCGACAAGAAAAGCAAGGACAGAAGCACCAAAGGAACTGCGTGTGCTGGACGCCCAATCTCAGCCAATTCTGCGAATGAAGACTTGCTTCAACCTCCGCCAGTATGCAGGATTCAAGACCTGCAGTCTGTGACTCTTCGGAATGGTCCGAGGGCAGTGCGGTGAAGACAGTCGAAGACAGGCTGCAAACGCTGCAAGGTTAGAAAAGGAGTCACTTTCTCACGAAGCACGCGCTGCAGTTCGGGTACCTGTAAATTCTGGCTTGGTGCACCAACTTTGGGGAGTGAACTTTGCTCCAAGGCTTTTAAGGTATGGTCCTGGCCATCCCTTAATTTAACGGGGACTCACACATGCGTGTTTTGAGTGGAATCACACGTCCACTAGGATTATCTCGAACCTCTTGGCAGGTCCAAGGTTTGTATTGCCCGGGACCTGTCACATATTTTAAACTGTGTTCACCATAAACGCAAGACATCAAGAAACAGTGCTAGCTTGGATAGACGACAAGTGTGGTGGTCTGTGCTGTCGCTAGTCCAACAGGCAGCCAGGAGTGCAAACATGTCAACCAACCTCTTCTTTGGTGCACACAGTTGTCAAACTTGAGAACTATGGCAGCGACGACGACGACGACGACGACAACAACTGACAAGCTTTTGTTGGCAGTTGTCACCCCAGTTACATTGGGGGGTGCAATAACTGAGGACTTCAATAATGCTCTGCAACGCCTAGGTGACCTTTCACAATTTGTGTAAATCCTGACAAACGCATATCTTTGCATACAGGTACATGATAATAATGATAATACATGTCATTACACGTCTGTCTGCATACTAAGGCATTTTGTGAACGCGACAAGCTCTTGCTGAGTTGGACGAAAATGCGCGGAAAGAAAGTCTCGCTGAATCAGCTTTGGCACCTTTCGAGTCAACGAGACTTCACCTGACTTTTTACGTGTCACCAACTCCGAAGCTCCGAAGGCTCCAGAGCTATCCACGGTCGAGAAAGGCATCAGGCCCATGAGAAGAACTCGTGGTTTCCCAAGCCGCTTAGCCTAGATATCTTCAGACTACAGTACCAAGCTGGGCGAGACATCTCGGTATTGCAAACCAGGCAACCCCAGTAAGGCGCCTTAGCTGAGCTCGCAGGCTTCAAGGTAGAACGGAGGGTTTGACGTTTCTGGTGTTGAAACAATCAAAACTCACTGGACAATTTGTTTGTTGCGGATTCAACCAGGTACAGGTCTGTGAAAATGACAATCTATAATATATACAGTAATTAGTTCAAATTGGCTCTTCCCTTATCTTCTGGATCTTGAAAGGTATGTACTGCATGACACAAGGGCTCCTTCACCTATGGAGCAGCCAGTTCTCAATTCCCTCGTCAGAGAGGAACACATCGAACTTCACTGACTATTATTCAAAAAATCAAGAAAGCCTCAAACTAAAACAAGAAATGATTTACAGGGTCAGTCTACTGCAGCTAGGTACCCTGGATGACAAATTCTGAGTTAGCGGAAGCGGCTGCATGCCAACCAATGCTAAAGCGGTGCAAATGGGTGGGGACCGCAACATGCTTTTTCACTTCATTCTCAGAGGGAGGGGGACAAAAGCACCCATCCAATGGACCATCCTGCCTACTGGCACTCAAAACGCAGATTGAGTCCGGCACTGCATTGCGCGATGGGGATTGGTTTCCCTACCTAGGCCCGAGGGCTCTTGAACCTACAGCAGGGTCACAAATGGGCAGCATGCCTGAAAGCACGTCTTTGACTGCAGGTGAGATGGTTGGGAAACAGCTCCTCCATAATCATAGCTATAACCGCTAGTATATGCAGTCCATCACAAGACCTCACTGTGTTGCAGTTGCAAAAACGAACAAAACCTCTTCTTTGACCATTGGTGTAGGATCTTGCCCGGTAAGGGCACGTGCCCCAATTCAATTCGCAGCAAAAATACGTGTTCAAAGCCCGTCCAATACTTGATGAAGGGCAGCTGTCACGGAATTTGATGCATGATCCCCTTTGGATAATCAAGGCAAAGATGTGGTGTCTCGACATATCCAACGACCTTGGCTTTGTGGCTGTCTGGGACCTGTGTGAACTGGAAGGCCTGTGTCTAGAGGCTGAACAACATAAATTGCAAATACCTCCCCACTTGCTGACATTGAAACATATTGCCAAAACAAACATAACATACCCTTTTCTCGTTTTCTCGCATTCGAGGCGAAGCGCCTTAACAGACTTGTTCAGCCTCACACCACGCTAGAATCTGCTGTGTCTCACTCATTTTCGCTATCACTGCCGCTCATGTCTAGGCAACTCAATCTGAGTCTTGTGCTCGTGTTACTATCTTCCTCTTGATGTGCCGGCTTGGAGAAAGGGTACCACTTGACCAACTGAATCAAGTGTTAATATGTCAAACCTTCCACTCCAGAGACTTCACTGGAATGTAGCTGGGGAAGAGAGTAGCCCAAGCGCTACCTTGGGACACGCCCAAGGCGCCCAAGCAACCTCCTGCGGATTTCATTTCTCAGCACTGGGAGTTCGTGCGCCTCGCGGCCAAATTGGGAGGCTGCAGGTTCCTACAACTCCCTGGTTGGCCTTTTGCTGGATTCACGCCGGGTTTGCATCCCGTTGAAAGTGTAGCGAGCAATAGACCATCAAAATCAACTATTATTACCTGGAAAGCAATGGGTCGATGCAAGTCTAACGGTCTAACGTGGTGCCACCTCTATGCAGTCTGCCAGAAGAAAGCCTGATGACACACGCATGGCGCATGCGGATGTAGTAAATGGATGTAAATGGATCTGTACAGAAAAGAGCTCCATCCAAAACCTCCCTGCTTCCCGCTTTGCGTAGCTTCGCGCAGCTTGCCACCTGAGCCCCAAATGCATCTCGGTTCTCCCGCGTGCGGCGCCTCAGACTCTGTCGGCGTGTCGTGACGTCACCTCTTGGACTCTCGGAGTGAGACGATGACACTTTCAGCTGAACGTTTTTCGTGGGTTGACACTGAAGTAAGCTGGGCGAAGCAAGCTTCTCAAAATGCCAAGTTCTGTGCCACCATACTGGCAGAGTGGGTAGAGTTGCACAATTGTGCACCACCACCGTGTCCAATGCCTATTTAAGATTATATAAGTGGATGTGATGTACCTGCATACCAAAAAATCTGAGGACCACTCAGCAACCACGGAAGAACCTGAAAGTCGGGACTCTTGAATCAAATGTGCAGCTTCTGTGGTGTCCTTTTCCAATTCAACAAAGATAAACATCTAATATTTTCTAGATTCTATATGAGAAATGAGCAAACTATCACAGCTATCGAAGCTCTCAACATTGAGATGAAGCATGCGGGAAAGAATAAGAACATGCGTGACAGAATCCTTAGAATTCCAGGCCTAATAAATCCAAGGCCTCATGGATCTGTCCAAAGACCAGAAGTTTTGAGGCCTTGGCGCTAGGTGAGAGAGTCATTGATCACACATTCAAGACATTCTTGGTTATCCAATCCTCTCTTGCGCGTAGATTCAAAGCTACCCAACCATTGCACCAAGGTGTGAATATGAAGCACCATTTGGGATGCCTTCTCATTTCACGAATGGACTCCTTGTCAATATGTTCAACAAGAAGCTAGGAATACGATCACAGGGTCCATGAGTGATGAGCAGAAGTGTTTGTCCAAAGTAGCAACCTTCAGGTCATCATCTCCAAAAGTGGATCAAATCTAACCCTTGGATTGTGTTTTTGTTTCTGAGCACAAGACATTGTAGCCTGCCAAGCCCAAAGCATACGTCAGATTGTCTACCTGGAGCTGCAAAGTTCTGTCATCATGAGCCATGAAAAAATATCGGCCAGGAAAGGAACACAAAAGGCTAAGTGACCCGATTCCAAGAAGACAAGACTAGTAGGTTTGCACCGCAACATACTCACATAAGTCCTTGCATTACTCTCAGGATGTTGATGGGACACTTGACAAAGTCTAACTAACGAACGCACAGACTGACACCTGAAATGTTCAAAAAACAAGTGCGCACACATCTCGTGAAACCAGGTTGGGTGCGAAAATCTTAAGCATGTCAGGACGTCCATGCCCAAGATCTGAGCAAAGTGAACTCGCTGATCATTGCGGGCAAGCCCTGCCAGGCCATATGAAACAACGCCCGTTTCCGCTGTGCTTTGTCATTTCCCACCCATGTTCTGGTTCCAGCTAGAACTGCTGGATCGCCCCCTTCTGAACCATTTTGTTGGAAGATACTGGAAGGATCCACAAGGGTACCATAGATTAGATGTGTAATATATTGCAACATTGTGCAACTAGGCAAGGAAAACACTGTCGAATACGGTGGCGATCCATGGCATCATCGCCACCTGTGTTCACCTGTGTCCAACATCTGGGGCCTAGGGGAGCCCTGTGAACGTGTGGACAGTGGGTGGCTCTGGTGGTGGGCACGGCGTATTTGAACATTGTCTCGAACCAATTTTTGCGATTTCTCCCAGGCTTAGGCGCTTGGAGGATGGTGGGGATTTATCCCAACCCCTCTGGCTACTGCAATGTGATTTTTGAGGAAAAATATTGGGTGGTGGAACAAACAACCGAAACACCAACGAAGACGTGTGTTTAGCTGCATTTCTTTGGCTTTTCCAAGGCTCCTAGTTTCTCCATCATCTGCACCGCATTGAAGAGAGAAGATCGATTGTGCGTGGCAAGCATGAGTGCAGCGGATGGCCTGGCATGAAGATACAATGGAGCAGTTCGACTTAAAGAACCCCCATTTACTGCATGGCCACGCCATCTCTGAAACTTAGTTAGCTTTGAATGCACAGAACCCCAGAAATGATTCGATCATCTGCTACGATACCCCAGACTTGCGGTTCCGAGGCCATCTCCCGGCTGGAAGCTTGGAGCAAAAATCTTGGTGCCATCAACCGCTCTGCCCATGTAATGTAAAGCCAATAGAAAATCAAGCGGCTCAGCCGTGTTTGTAAAGGCACAAAAACGTATATTGAAGTCTGCAAATCGTTGAAAGTTCGAAGTTCACAGGTTCGTTGAGCTCAATCTTCGAAAGCAGGAGCCACTTAGCTTCTTCGAACCCGAAGGCCTGGCCCAATCCCGCCCCGGCCTCTTCGTCACGATCGCCTGCAGGATCTTCTCCGCGGCGGTTTCAAAGGCCGCATCCGTGTCCTCCTCTCGGAGTGGGGGTCACGACGCCGAGGCTTAAACCATGGCCGGGAGGCAGACTTTTCCACGAGAAGGCTTGTAGCATAATATACAGCAATATCGTGGTATGCAGATCAGTTCAGATCGGTAGTTTTCCAGGATTTCCACCAGCAGCACCTGACGTGTTCCAAGAGCCTCAAGGTGTCCAGTCCTTGGTATCGAAAATGGTGCCAAAGGGCCGTTCCTTGCGCGACCGGGGTTCCAGGATTCAAGCCAAATTATCTTGATATTCTCTTAGGTTGGAGGCCATCGCTAGTAGGTTGGAGGCCATGGCTCTTTGGAGGCCATCGCTCTTAGGATTCAAGCCAGATTTTCTAGATATAGTGCATCTCATCGAATGGTTCGGTGTATGAAAGTGCAGGTGCCCAGACACCGAACAGAAGTTTTGCAGTTTGCGCCAAAACGCTGCATGCTGCCTGATATCACGCCGAGAAATATCGATAAGGCCTAGTAACTTCCAAAAGGCTTACTGTATGTGAATTCATAGTTCATTGAAGTTCAACAGTTGGCAGAGATTCAATACATCACGCACCAACTAGAGTCTAGAGTCATCATCTCTATGAAATGATTGCAATTAACCCAACGCGTGTAAACTGATGCCAAACTAGCAATATGAAGGACGGCCGCCTCCAGCATATTTTCACCCACCACACATGAGGTTGGATGTTTCTTTTTTTTCTGAGCTGGGGTCTTTCCAACACTTTCCTAGCCTCACTCTACAGCGAGATGCTCAACCCTTCGGAGAAGAGATACCTGTCCTGCTCGATATAGGCACCTGCCAAAAGTGCGAAAAAAAGAACTGGGGATCTTTAGCGGTAGCTTTTGGTGTTTAACGAGAAGGAGCTGAGAAGTGAAAGGAGCGGTGCGTGCAGATTAGAGTGAGGTGCGCTGACAGTTCTTAGTGGCAAACCATTTGCAAAGAAGCCTCAAATGTGTGTTCTTGAAAGGGCGCAAAGCTCCAAAGAAATGCCAGGCATGAGTTCTGAGAGTCCCGACGAAGGGCTCAGGGCTTCTAAACGGCTCTAATGGTACATAATTGGTATATAGTATATATTTACTATCCCGTTACTGGACCTGCACTAACTCATGTGGGGTTGCCCCGGATAGGTCGCCAACGTTCAGAGTATCTGCTTTCCCTACCACAGGTGGACCGCATTGAGACACCCCCGAACATACACCGTTCCCCAGTTGACCACAGCAGGGTTGATCCAAACTTCTGCTTTCTAAATCTTTCTAATATACAAGAGTCCAAGAGTAATTGCTAATTATATATGTATCTTTCTCGAGCAGGACCCGCGGTCTTTGTGCCAGAGCGGTGTTATAACCTGAACCATCTGGTGAAGCAAAGACACTCTGTTTTTGTATTTTCTCCGAACGCGCACGTTTCAGACTGCTTTGCAGTTATGTTTGTGCCCCGGTAGTTTCCGGGACAAAGCTGGAGATTTCTACTCCGGTGATACGGTGTGTACACAACCTGCCTCATGGCTCTGGAGCATAGTGGTCAAAAATGGTCAGCGACCGCAAACCTTGCTAAGTCTTGGTGGTGAGAACTGAGAACGATCCAAACTTCGCAATCTGCCATGAGCAAAGTTATGCAGGTCAAAGACTGGCCATCGACCGTCGCTCTCTTCGTGGTGCCCAAAACACATTTTTCTCCGTGAATACGCAAAATGTGCAGAGAAGTGTTTTCGATATTGTAGGTTTGACGGATGGACCGAAACCAACGGAAAATCTGCAGGGATTCTATGGATTTCGACGCACTTTTCAGGCTAATCTGCCCTGGTCAGGCAGCATTTGCTTAGAGACGCTCCTCTGCCACCATCGACAACCTGGGCAGCGGGGCTAAACCAATCAACAAGAATTGAAATGGGAGGAAAACGGATCCTGATTTTACCAACAACTTGTAGTACTTGTTCGAGGTGTCAATGCAATTACCCGAGGCCCTGCGGTTGTTGTTCGGTTTTTGGACATTCGACAAGCATCATTATCATTGTCGCCTATGTCCTGTTGTCGCCTATGTTATCTTACATATTATTCTATAGGAAGTACCATATAGATGGCATAATTTTACATTAACTAAGAAGGAATAAAGGGGGTGTCCAAACCTCATGGGCCTGTACAGGGCCCCTGGGCCGGTGTGCCATGTTAGGGAGTAGACAGGAGTAGCTAGAAGTGGAAGTGTACAAGCTGAGCCGGAGTGCCATCTTAGCAGAACAATGACTCTTCTGCAAACATATGTAGAAGCAGAGAGGCAAACACATAAATATATAGTGGGTCACACATAGATGGCATTTGACTCACGCTGGATAAGATGGCATAACAGCCATTTTTTAGACATTTTTTGCAGATGGCAGTTGATTGAACGGGAGGGCTAGTGTGCCATCTTAAAAGCAAAAAAAAGACCTGACAAAACCTGAGTCAATGTCCTCAATCAAAGCGATCGATGCGAGTGTGCTGGAGGGGAGGCTTGAAGGGGAAGGGGAGAAGAGAGGGCAAACTAGAATGAAGGAGGAATCAGAAAGAGCAGAGCAAGGAAAGAACAAGGAAAGACAAAAA